GACACCTCTAATGGCATCTGTAACTGTGGCTTATTGACAAAGACTTAGGAGCAAATCTGCCCAGGAGGAGGCGGCCCCTGGGATGTTGCTATCAGTAGATCTAGATTAAATCATGGTGGCTCCAGGGGGAGAAAATGATACAGCAGCATAATTTCTGTCTCGTGTTTTTGTCCTGGACCCCAGACCTCAGGTGTAGAGCCCAGGGGCAGTGGTAGCAAACTTCTCCAGGGATATGGAGTAGGCACTGCTGACAGGAGCCGGGGCCTCAGAGTGTCCACCTCAGTCAGAAACAACCTAATTCTGAATTGCACACACATATTTATTTACCTGGCTGTCACTGCAAGTTTCCTCCTCACTCAGCCTGAATCTTTGCATATGCATCTAAGATGTTCATTTCGATTGTTACGTTCCTTCTCCTGCAGCTTCCTGCCTTAGTGTGTACTTTCACTAATGAAGCCTGCCTTCGCCAAAGGAGCACCAGTGTGAGCAAGGATGGAGACATGGTGATTGGGTGTTTCTTGTCTCTTTATTTCTATATCTACTATACTGCAATCTTTGATATAAAGCCTACTAGAGAATTCTATTACTTTCCGTAAGTGTCTTCCTCATTCATTGGTTTTCTTTCTGGACATCAGGATAGATAATGGCTATGGATCTGTATTGCATTAATATTCTCTATAGTGCCGTCTGTTCTGCCCACCCCCCCCGACATGTGCACAACAGGCCAGCCGACACGTTTGGCCTCTTTTTGTACATGGGAATGAGGGAAGAGAATATTCTTCCTATTTATTTGTGCTTCTACCTTCTCTTTTCACTCTTGGAACCTGAGAGGGACCCCACTCTCCACCATATTCCATGGTGCATGACCTTCCTGCATGGCAATAGGTGATGTTCTGCATCTCAGTTGAACCCTGTAGATTAATGGAACATTAAGAGCCTATTGCCAAGTATTCCCTAAGAAAATGAAGGGTTTGCTGTTTCTCTATTTCTCTAACTGTAAACTTCCTTATTTTATTATTGATTATTTGCTGATATTTCTACCCCTTCTGCTTGGACAATCTTCTTCCTGTAATCATTCAGTTACTATTTCCAATACACTTTATGGTGCTCCAGGACTCCTGACACTGCAAGGTGAGCCCAGAATAAGTGTGAATCCCGTGTGAGACTTTTCCCCGCCAATGTGTTTCTTCCTCAGTTAGATGCGTGCATCATTTCTCTGTTTGGTACTATCTTATCAGGTCTCACGCCAGACACAGAATTAAATAGTGAATTTTCCAAAGTGTCTGAGAATTCTAGCAAATGACTTGTGGTTTTGTGAGAAAAGGAGGGAACAGTGGAACAGTGAGCGATTGAGTCTTACAGAAGATGCTGACCCACAGTGTTCTCATGGCGGCTACCTATATGAAGGGTTAAAATTAAATACAAAAAGATCTTCCTTGCTCATACACAGTGCCACAGCCGTGTTCTAAAGATTACACATTAGGATGTTTGATGGACATCCTGACATGAGTAGAAAGTCACTGTTAGCCTGGGCATATCCCAAGGAGTTTCTTTCTCACCTGTCTAGAAGATGCAGATGTTTGATATGTGAGTTACTTGCTCAGTTTTGGGGGTTACACACTCTTCTTCTGCTCGTGCACAAAGTTTGGACACTGCCACTTTTGTGTCAACTGGTATTTAAGGTGCCTCACTGGCAGGAGGAGTGTGGGATCTCATGTGTAGAGAGGACACTCTGCCCAGACCTTTTCCAACCAAAACCCTGAAAACCCTATGAAGGGACATTTAGCACTGGAATTGGGACTCCAGATGTGGAAGCTCTTCTGATCGAGTTATAACCATCTCTGTGCTTTCTCTTTCTTCTGTGTAATCATGTATGTGTTCACTACTGCTTTGTTATACTTTGTTTTATTACTTTTAAGCTGGTGATCGAGGCATTTGTCATTACACCTTGGATGTGTATTTTTCTTCAATCATTTTTTCAAATGTGTGTTACAGATGTGCTTAATACACAAAGCTTGATTTAGAGACCTGTTACTGAGTGTTTCTTGTTGCTGACAGATCAGAACTATTTTTGAGTGTCTGACTCAGAGAACTGTGCTCAAAATCTCCTAAACCCTGTGAGAAGAGTAATTACTCATGTCACTTATTGAAAATTATAAGAAGGATTTTATTGGATCGGGACATAACCCTCAGTATAGAATACACTGAAATGTGGTTTGTTTGGGGAGGTGGATTCTGAATGGTGGACGGGCTTGTGTGTGCTGAGAGGTAAAAGGAGCATGGAGCGGGGACAGTGAGGGAGTGGAAAAATCCCCCTGAGCAGATTCTAAGTGAAGAGAGCCCAGTGTGATGAGACATCAGCTGAGTATAGTAGGTAATGAGAACATAGTCAGATATCTAGCATTATCAGATTCCAAAGACAGTTCAGCAATGCAGGGTCTATTTCTGTTCCTCAGAGGAGAGGCTGAGCTGCCTACTCTTCTGTTGTCCTCTGCTCTCCCCACACACGCTCAGAGGATCAGGCTGCTTTTGGGTTGGCCTTGCTCTAGAGCCCTGCACCCTGAGCTCTGTCTGGGGCTGAAAAGAACACACTTGCAATTCCAAGGTGCTCTGCCCAGGCTGATGTATCCTCCAGGAACAAGGCTTTAGGGATCAGAAGAGAATTTTTATTCTTGCTAAAATGAGAGGGAAAAAGAAAGAACTTTTGTAAAATAAGTGCTAGTTATTATGCCTGTATAATTCATATCCTTCAACCTATCATAGTTAAATCTCACCCATTTAGGGGATGTTCCAAATTTTCTAATTAATTTCTCCTGTCATTTAAGGAGGGCAATAGGTGTGTGATACTTAGAGGAATGTTCCTGATTAAGCTAAAGAATGTGGAAGAGTAAAATGGGTCTGCTCAAAGTTGTATATTCTTTAAATTACCTTATGCATATCATCAAACTGCATACTGCAACAAAATAATGGGCATTTTCAAACAACCCCTCAGGGAAGTTATATTTCCTTAACCTTTACATTGGGCAGTGGGCCTACGGTGAAGTTAAACAAGTGGCATCATGCTGCTCTATGGGCATGTCCTGTAGTAGCACTGGGATGGATCACATTGGATGCATTATCTTCAGATTATTGCATTTTATGTCATCATTCCTCAATTTTTTATCTTAGGAAAGTCCTTCTAATTTGTAAAAAAAGTTTGTATATTACGGACCAGAAAATATTATTGACCAAGCATTTTAAAAATGATTTCATAGGCGCTTAGCTTGTTGTAAATATTTTCACATAAATCATGCTTAACCAGAAAAAGATATGAGCATCTAGGTTGCAAAAAAATACCGATCGTTTGCCTTTACATTTTTCCTATTGGCAATTCATCTCAATGTATAATGCTGAAAACACTTGTGTTGTTTATTACTTTAATATTTTAAAACATTATATAGTATTTCTGGAATTTATTTTGTGATCAATGTGTGTACTCACTTAATTTCAGTATGCATAGTAGCTCACTTTTACTACGGATAACATAATTTAATATTTCATGAATTTTTAAAAAAAATCTTGTGATAAAAACAATAGATGATAATCAGACAGATTAGATAAACAGATAGATAGAGACAGATAGATAGATATAGATGGAGAATTACTTTCTCCAATCTGTTCCACTGATGTATCTATTAGTTGCTTTTGCTCTGAATAACATGCTCCTTTCATGTTCTGAAACAGTTTCACTACTTTTATGGATTTCATAAATTTCAGAGCACTTGTGTAATATTTGTCTCTGATACAAAAGTCTCTCTTCTAATGTTTCTGAGCAGGGACAACATTGATAGAATTTTTATATTAACATTTATAAAATATTCTTTTTAGTACTTTTATCTCTTTACTTGAATGTAAAGGTTCTAACTTGTCATATTGTACATTTTGTGAAGTCTATTGCTATTCTATATGTATTTTTCTCAAAGGACTTTCACTCGTCAATTTTATAATGGAAATATTTTTTTATTCTCATTTACCCAGCTTTTCTTTGAGGTCTCCATCAGAATTTTATTTTACTTTTACGTGAATAATCTTATTCCTAAAGGAATACTCATACCTGCTTTTCTCTTCAATTTTTTTTCTCTCCTTACTTGCTGAATATTTATTCTATGATTTAGAAACTCCAGTGCAACAGTAAGCGATTCTGATGTTAACAAAGAAATCTTGTTTTAACAACTTTTTCAATGCACATACTCCTGATATACCGCTTCTTTAAGAAATTTCATCCCACAACATTCACAGCGGATTGTCCTTTGTCAATACATTATTCAGTTTTCTTAACAGAACTCTCTCAGGAGGAGAAGCATGAAGCAATTGTCTGTCCCATCATTCCCTGGGAGGAGGGTGAACTTGTGTTCTTGACCTTCACCCATCTTCGTGTGACTCACTGCTTTATGCTTTAAGTAAAATCTAAGTTTTCACTTGAAAGTATTTTAGTTTTCTCTTTAATTTTATGTTTAATTCTCAAATACAATTAATTCTGTTTATAGATGCAGTGTTATGTGCTGCTATATACTGATATTATCTAATAAGTAAATCAAGTGGATTCATGTATCCTTCACCCCAGAACTTCTTCACATGCGTGACTGTGGATAGCAGTTCTGTTGGTGATATGTTGAACTAACAACATTAAGGAAATACCTTTTTTCTGGTTTCTTTTTGCTGGTATGGAATACTATATGTACTTCAAAATATATACTCTTTTTCTCCTTGCAAACTGTGAGGATATTTAAAAGTATCACATTTTCTAAAGACCTACACAGTGTCATTCTACACACAGATTTTATTCTGAATATATATAGTAAGGTCATGTTAACTGTGTAAGAAGTATAACAGAATGATGAAGCAACTCTTCCAGGAATCTTGTAAGACCACTGAGCTCCTCCATGAGAAATTCAGCCACATCATTCATCTAATTCCAGTGACGTTCTGAAAGTCAATCTTTCACCCTCATCATCTCCATATTTGGGTTCTAATGATATGAGTGCATGGAAAGAACACAGCATTCATTCCATAAATGGTACTGGACTGCATTGGAAGATGATCATTGCTTGAGTCTTTTCTTGAAGGACCTCTGTGCTCTCTCTGCAGGCTGACGCCCAGCAACTACCAGAACTACCTGGCCTTCGCTTTTGCCATAGAAGAGATCAATAGGAATCCTCATCTTTTACCCAACATTTCTCTGGGCTATGAGTTCCACAATTTCATTAGCTGTCATTGGATGATGCTAGAAAGTTCCTTCATTTTGCTCACAGGACAACACGAGATCCCTAATTACACATGTGAGAGAGGAAGCAAGTGTGCAGCAGTACTGACAGAAATGTCATGGGGTACCTCGGGTCAGATCGGATCACTGCTGGACCTCTACAGATTTCCCCAGGTGAGTGCTGGTTGGACAGGAAATGGTGGAAGCACATCCATGGGGCTTCAACTACCAGTAGCAGAAAGGGTTAAAAATGAGACTGGGATATGCATCTTTCATAGTGTATTATGCACCAGCATCTGAACACAGAGACTTAACGGGTTACATAGAATTTATTATGTATTTTTTTGACCAAAGAGGAGGAAAGGAAGAAAGAAATGTTTCTGGGTTGTCTGAATATATTCATTCACTTCAAAAAAAAGTCTCCTGAGGGTGATGTTTACCAAGATGGAAAGAACTCGAGTCTCCTACAACTTGTAGGAGTACCTTTATGGTATGTGTTATGTGTTACTCCGGGCTACTGTAGCGCTTTCCATCAAGACTTCAGGTTATCACCAAGTTTTCTTTTCCTTTAAGGTCACCTTTGGCTCATTTGATGCTACACTGACTGACAGTGGCCAGTATCCTTCTCTCTATCAAGTGGCCCCAAGGGACACGTATTTGGCCCTTGGTATGGTGTCCTTGATGCTTCATTTCCACTGGACCTGGGTGGGCCTGCTCATCACAGAAGGCCAGAAGGGTCTTCAGTTTCTCTCAGATATAAGGGCTGAGATGGACAGGAACAGAGTCTGTGTAGCCTTTGTGAAAATGATCTCAACTGCGGCTGTGTCATATGTCTCATTTACAAAGCAGCATGATGTCCTCACTGCTGATACTGCATTAGCCAATGTGGTGGTCATTTACTATGATACTGATAGTACACATGATGTAAACTACAACATAGTGCAAGACTCAGTGACGTGGAAAATCTGGGTGACAAACTCACGATGGCATGCTGACCTTTCTGGGAGAGATTTCATACTTGACCCCTTCCATGGGACTCTTGTTTTTTCACATCACCATGAACAGATTTCAGGTTTCAAAAACTTTGTCCAGGAAGCTACCCCTTTCAAATATCCAGAAGACACTTACCTTTTTGTGTATTGGTCCAAAAATTTTGATTGCTCCTTTTCTGACTGTGCCTTGAAGGACTGCACACCTAATGCCTCTGTGGCTTGGTTGCCTCTGAATCGTTTTGACACAGGCATGAGTGATGGGAGCTACAATATATACAATGCTGTGTACGCTGTGGCCCACGCCCTCCATGCGATGCTTTTGGAAGAAGTACAAAGGCCGCCAGTGAGAAATGGACAAGTGATGCTGTTTCACCCCTGGCAGGTAACCTGTATTCTCTTGGATGATGTGCACTTTCATAGCGGTGCCCCTCTCAAGTTATTCTGTGTATTTCACCCCAGAATACTAATATCATTTCTGCAAAATACAAGACATTGTCTATCACACTTGTTGTTAAGGAGTCAATTCTTGAACTGAGTTGAAATGACTCTCAGTCAAGCATACTCAGGCAACGAGGAGAAAGCAGGAGGCCAGCTCACTCCTTCTGTCTAGAGGATGTCAACGCCTTACCTGTGTAACGTTTTGTGACTTTCTCAAAGGAAAGCTGGAAAACCTGCAGTCAGTTACAAAACTAAATGGTGTTACATTGGAAAGTGCATGTAATTAAGTTTCATGTTATTCCATAAACTCTTCTGATATTGTTGAACTCATTTTGTTGGTAGATGCTATGGGAGTAGTGCAGTAGATAGTGGACGTTGTGGGTTTTAGATACTTTGATTTCACTGTTGATGTTTTCACCCAACAACTGCACCCCTTGTTTGAACAGGCTTGCAGAGAATACTTTTTTTCTGAAACTGATTGACATTTTTTGAACATAGTGACATTTTAATCCATAGACATTCATGTGCTCCTCTTTAATAAATAGCAGTGTTAAAGTTGTTTTAGGTAAATTTGGATTAAAGATGCCTAGGGACTTTCCCCCATCCAAATTTTGTGTCCTTGCCCTGGAGCCCTGCTCACATAGTATGATGTGTCTCCTTTAGCTGCATCGCTTTCTGAAGAACATCCAATTTCACAATCCTGCTGGAGACCAAGTGAACTTGGACGACAGAAGGAAACTGGATTCAGAATATGACATTCGCAATTTTTGGAATTTTCCAGAAGGCCTTAGACTGAAGGGTAAAGTAGGAACATTTTCTACACATGCTCCCTGTGGCCAAAAACTGACTTTATCTGAGGATATGATAGAGTGGGCCACAGGAACTGCAGAGGTATGTTGTACCTATCATGGCACACTTACTTAAGCACAAGAGAGCTAAACACTGTCCTAGGTTTTCTGCCCCCAGCTTTGGTCATATAATGTTCATATGTGGATATTGAATAACAATAATAAGTTTTCAATTTAAAAAATTTGTTCAGAACCTTTTGGATGAGTGGGAAAGTAATGCATTTACTTAATGATATTTTGGTAAATTTATATTTCATGTTATGAAATTAATTTGGCATTCAATTATGTAGCTTTTTTCATATTGCAAATCAAGATTATATCTCTCAAACTGAAGAGGTAAGTAAGAGTCTAAGAAGTTACTACCATATGTGTTTTTCCTTAGACTCCCCGCTCAGTATGCAGTGAGAGTTGCAATCCTGGATTTAGAAAAAGCCCTCAGGAGGGAAAGGCTGCCTGCTGTTTTGACTGCACCCCTTGTGCAGACAATGAGATCACCAATGGCACAGGTAGGAGCATGTCCTGTGCACGCACTCTCACTTTATTTTCTATTCACTCCATGCATCCAGGAAATGGAAAAATCTTCTGGAAAGCACCAATGATAAAAATCTTCCCTCACTTATCCAAGTATTCGTTATACTAAGTGCTACTGCCTGGTTGGAAAACACATTTTCCCCTTTGAAATGCACTTAATTCATTTTCCTTGTATTTCACTCTTATTCATCATTTTTGTTTGCCTTTTCCATTGCTAGAAATTCAGTGACAATGTGCTCTATCCATGATCTATGTCCTCAGACATTCTTATTTGTTATTATGAGACAGAATATCACTGATTTGCCTCAGACTGCCTCAAAAATTCAATAGACAGATCTCTGCCCGCTAATTATCTGGAATAATACATGGGCACCGCCACACCTGACTACAGTGATTTATATTTCTATTCCCAAGGAAAGCATTATTTTCTCAAGAAAACCCCGTTTCCCTACTCCACAGCTTCTAAGTTCCATCTCCACTGTGTAGTTTAACACAGAGTAGGGTTCAAACGAACTCTGGAGAACTACAGAAAGTTCACAATCAAGACAAGTTCAGGCACACTTCATCACCCAGGGCCTGACAGTATTCTTCACACAAAGCAGGTGGTCAGACAGATTGAGTTTGAGTGCGATGGGGGATGTCTTTGATGTGCAACATGCTCATAGCCCAGCACATTCAATTCCTATGATTTAATCTCCATTCTCCTAGAATGCATAGGTGAGTGGAAAGACAGACTATGGCATAAGTTTGAGTCTGCACCACAGAACTGCAAGGATGATAGGCACCCAGTATAAGGGATTTAACAAGTGAGAATATCTACATTTCAGGAGGGTGTCATAGCAATTTTACAGAGGTGACAGCATTAGTATTATATCACAATAAAAGTGGTGGAATAAATCCTTTGAGGATTATTATAAGTGGCCATAATGGCATAGTCACCATTCATGGAATATTCAGATACCCTGAAGGAAAATACCATGTTATTAAAACACAGATAAAATGAGGATGAGGATTGAAACCTATGCCTTTAAATTGATAGAAATCTAATGTAGAAGATTATTGCATACCATAAATATCAGTTTGTAAGTATTTAGCTTACTTATAAATCACGACATGGTGGAATCATCTTCCTACTGAATATTATGTAATGTGAATTCATGGCTGATATAAATTTTGTTTTCAAAACATATTTATTATGCTTTTCAATGATCTCTGCAATACATCAAGATAATTCTGTACTGTATCATGTAGTTATTTTCAATATATATTTCCATAAATTGAAGGAATATGGTACTTTATACAAATATTGTATGTTAACATGTGGAGAACAATGCACCCAATATCCGTTAATACATGCCTCCAGTATGTATAACACTCAGTCATACATACTATGTAGAATAGATCAAAGCACAAATTAAAGATTATGTGCAACTAAAAATCCTGTGTGTTAAAGCTGAAACTACACTGAGACAAATCTTCATTCTACATTCCATTTGCTTCTGTGCTGGTCCTTATTTAAATAAAAATGCTGCAGTTCTTCCTTTGAAACGTTCATCACACACTACAAAAAAGTACAGCAAATTGAACACAAGAAAATAAAAGATGGGATACAGTATGAAAGGAATTTTTATAAAATGAAGACAGAGAAAATAAAAGTTACTGTGATTCTGGTAGTAAAATTTGACAACTCAGTACAACTGATCAAGAAGAGAAAAATTGAAAAGTTGTCTATCTGGAGAACTTTGTCCATTAGTACTTTTATATAGAAACTTTTCATATGAAAATAGAAGTCATTTCACAACAATCTATGCCTTCAAATTTATACATTCACAGGAAACTTTAGCAAAAATGCCTTGAAATTTATATAGTGACAGGAAAATTTAGCAAAATAATCCTGAGAAAAAATAAAATTTACCATACTAATCGTATCTCTACGTTACCACGTTTATTACCTAATGGGAGCCCACAGTGTAGTATTTCACTCCAAATTTTTATTGATTAATAACATTAGCAGTGAAATGTATATGCACTCCAAAACATATTAATTCTGATGTGATTCTTTCAGAAAAAAAGGAAAGAGGAAAATCAATTCATCTTAAGACAGGAACTAGATCGTCTTACTCATAGCTGAAAATGCACTTAGAAGAAATAAAGTTCACAGTCCA